TCACATGCAACACACCTGTGGCCTGGCCTGCCTCCCTGGTTGCTCCCATCACATTAGGTTCGGGCGGCCATGGATGCCATCGACATGGGACCTGAGGCGAGCCATCGCCTGGTCCATATTGTGCCTTACGACAACTTCAAGGAGAAGCGGCTAACGTTTGCTTCTGATTGGGTGGCTGAGGAGTTCACCAAACGGGCTTGGATAGATGAGCAGGATCAAGTGAAGTCTCTGATGGAATACAGCGCCGAAGCAGTAAAGGGGATACTTTTTGAGAAGGTTATGCATGGTGTACTGGCGATGGGCGGCAAGTTTGATGTGGTGCCATTGCACCCGGAGACTCTGGAGCGAGGCGAGGAGGAGGAGCTGGACATCCAGGCCTGTACAGAGTCTCTTCGCTTCACAGATGACGAGGCCAGTGATATGATGAGCAGTATTAAGAACATGTACTTGAGGCCCGTGTCCGGCAATTTCCCCGTCATTGATGCCCTTAAGGTGCCGGAGATGCACCTTTTCCAGATGACTATTTCGCGTAGCAAGGTACTCAATGCTGATGAACTTGAAAACGTGCTCAAGCGACTGGGCATCCCTGCACCGGGCCAGGAGGGCTGCCAGCCCAGCCTCTACTTTGTGGTGCATCCTGGCGTGTACAACAAGTTTAAGGTCCGGGCAGCAACAAGGAAGCTTCCTTGTTCAGCTTAAGCTGAAGTCCGGCAAGGAGCGAAAGGCGGCCTGGCCGCCCTACCCCAAAGAGAAGTATGTGCGGTCAGCTAACACCCGGTTGTACATTATGCGTGGCACATACAGGCGGACCCTTGGGCCTTCGGCTTGTTTGGGCTCGTTATTCCGTGGGAGAATAGTGCCAGTGTAGGTGTAACGCACACATGCTAAGACCTGTACAGCAGCACTTGATGTATCCACACCACAACAGTTGTTGTGCTGGGCGAAGGGACAGGTTTGTGGACACCACAGACTTATGGCCATGATTTGTTAATGCATTTTGTGTTATTGTGTGATCTCTTGTCCTTATTGATGCAGTTCTTTTCTATAGGCATGGAGTTCTGCTGATGTCAATGGCTGTACTAATTGTCTTAACTAACAGAAGTGGGGTTGCCCAAATAGGCAATCTGGTGCTGTTACTGACTGTCTGTGTCTGCTAGGTATTCGCAGTATTTACTTGTAGCAGCTGACCGCTGAAAAGGTCTCTCGAGTTGCTGGCGGTCGCGCTCTGCACGTATTTATAGCACCGTATTGTGTACCGGCTGCTACATACTGGTGTTTGTAGTGTAGTATGCTGCCAAGTAGTTGTAGTATGTGTTAGGTAGGGCTCATGTGTACACGCGTTTGTACGTTTTGTACTTGCAAACTGAGGTTGATGAAGAGCAGTATGTACTACAGTTTTAATGCCTA